GGAGCATCAGTGTTGGATGTCATGAATTAGTTAAATTGGCCTTCAACACTGACTTAAAACATCTTTACTTACTAATATCCTCTTCGACTTTTATCCTCTGCACCAATGTTCTTTGGTTGTTGTTCTACTGAGCTGCCAGCCTGTGATTCTTGGCATTGGTATCCGTGTGCCGAAGAGGTAGGTGATCTACACACTTCATGAATAGACAAAATCTAGTTGCAGCACTTAATAGCCTTGACTCTGGATTAGTTGCTACTAAACCAAGTCCCGCACGTTCTCCTTAGCTGGCCAAGGATCCAGGCATGCAGACATGGAACTGGAGTATCTGTGGTGCACTTAACGATACATCTAAACAGTATGTACTGAATCCACCAAAACGCCATGCTGTATCCTGGAGAAGAGGCTGCTTACAGATGGAAAATAAAGACCAAAAATCCTTCTTACAGAGTGTTGTATTAAAGAGAACACACTACATCAAGTTTGCGAACCAATTTATTGCAGTAAACATCCACCTAGTCTTCGTGAGGATATTCCCCACCAGCTGCCCTCTCAACAATAACACCCATCTTAACCAGGAAATACTTCGCAAACTCCCTAGTGATCTCTAAGGTCCATCCAATCATGTACTCAATATCCTCAGAAAGATCACTCGGTATCTCCTTCTCGTCCCACCGGCACATCCGCTTCTTATCCTCATCGCTGATCTCCGTACTGTTGCATATCAGCTGTGCTATCATACTCACCATGCGGCCCCTGCTGTTGATCCGTCCTGTCAGCACGTCTATCATGTGCTCCGGTGTGAATATGCTGTAGAAGGCCCTCAGTGCATTCCCCGGACGTAGGCGGAATCTGTCCATCTCCATTAGCTGCTCCCTGCCTATAATACCCGTCTGGAACTCAAAGTCAAGCCCAACCTCGTTCCGCAGCTCATGTCTCCAGAAGTTCTGAACATGTACATTCTGCCCCACATTCAGGGGCGTCACTGCAATATCAAACACCCGTTCTTTTTCCTGCCCAACCCATGTCTCAACAACCTTCCTCACTCTGTCCTCCAGACTGCTACCTTCCTGCTCCTCCACATCTCCTGTCAGCAAATTGTGCACAAACATCATCTCGGATATCTGTCTGTCCGGACAATACCCAAGCCCCTCACAGATTCCACTGATGTTCGAGACGACCACGTCCCCATCACTCTCTTTCGAAAGAGCATTGAGTATGGCTCCAAGCAGGTTCTTGGCCAGACCCGTGTGCCTCTTCTTCATCCCCCACCTCCTGTACTCTTTGTCTGGATTGTAGATGTGGTGTATGAACTCGTCCATTGTTCTCTTGTTGTCGCCCATTATGAACATGCATCTGTTCTTCTCCCACATGTCCATAAAGGCGCTTTTGTCATTACCAATGAGCTCTGATATGTTTCGTTCCCTGGTGTAGCTGTCTTTGTTCTCTGCAACCTTTGTAACAATCTCTGTGATATTCCTATTTCTGGTCTCCCCGTCTACATCTGTCCTGAGCAGTGCAGAAAAGCCCTCTCCATACACTGCCACAAGGACTGTTTTGTTGGCCTCGATCGTCTCAATGACCCCGGGCCTCAGCCTGTCCCACTTACTCACAAACATGCTCTCATTCCACAGCCTCACCAATTCCTCCTCGCTGCATTTCAACTCGGGAACTGACTGCGGTCTGAGTGTTCTCAGCATCTCGAAGTTCCAGTGCATTGGCTTGCTCTTAAGTTCTCTGTACACATCCTCGACTGAAATTTCATCTTCTTCATACTCAACGCTGTTACTGCTAAGCACAACACGATCCCCAAATATCGCTCTCAGTTCTCTCCTACCCACAGTCCTTTCTCCATCGCCAACCTCTGAAATGTTATTGCCTCTTAAGTTCAATAATTGCATTGAACCTGACAACTTTTCTATCTCAATTGGCAGTGTCTCAAGTTTGTTACCACTGAGATTCAGTTCTCGTAGATTCTTCAGCTCTCCTATTGCTGCTGGCAGTGTCTCAAGTTTGTTATTTTTAAGATCCAAATACTGTAGATCCCCCAGCTCTCCTATCTCAGATGGTAGTATCTTGAGTTTGTTATTTCTAAGACACAGTTCTCGTAGATTGTCCAGCTCTCCTATTGCTGCTGGCAGTGTCTCAAGTTTGTTATCATTGAGATACAGTTTCTGTAGATTCTCCAGCTCTCCTATTGCTACTGGCAGTGTCTCAAGTTTGTTACCACTGAGCTGCAAGATCCGTAGTTCCTTCAACTTTTCTATCTCAACTGGCAGTGTCTCAAGTTTGTTACCACTGAGCTGCAAGATCCGTAGTTCCTTCAACTTTTCTATCTCAACTGGTAATGTCTTGAGATTATTTCTATGGAGATACAGTTTCTGTAGATTCTCCAGTTCTCCTATTGCTATTGGAAGTATCTCAAGTTTGTTATCACCAAGAAACAAATGTTGTAGATTCTTCAATTCTCCTATCTCAGGCGGTAATGACTCGAGTTTGTTAAGACTGAGATTCAGATATTGTAAATTCTTCAATTCTCCTATCTCGTCTGGCAATAGCTTTAGCTTGTTACCAAGAAGTTCCAAGGTCTGTAGTTTCCTCAGCTCTGCTATCACTGTTGGAAATGACTCAAGTTTGTTATTGTCGAGAATCAGTCTTTCTAGATTCTTTAGTTTTCTTATCACTGTTGGAAATGATTCAAATTGGTTATCACCAAGATCCAGATCTCGTAGATTCTCCAGCTCTCCTATTGCTGCTGGCAGTGTCTCAAGTTCGTTATCATCGAGATGCAGTGTACTTAGATTCTCCAGCTCTCCTATTACATCTGACAGTGTCTTGAGCTTGTTATTACTAAGAACCAGATGCTGTAAATTCTTCAATTCTCCTATCTCAGATGGTAGTGCCTTGAGATTGTTATGACTGAGTTCCAGCTTCTCTAGCTTCACTAGTCTCTTAATATTGCTGTCAATAGATGTAATGCCTTGTCTACATATAGATATTACAGTTTCATTCTCAGGATAATTTCCAAAGCTATAGATTCCACCTGGGTTTGCACCATTGTCCGAGCTCTGGAGTGTAGCTCCCATGAGCACAAGTAGACTCCAGATTGCTTTGTATGTCTTTCTCGTCTCTGCAATATTCATAAGGGGTGTGGCTGAAAATTTTTAAATAGTTGGATTGGACAGTATCAATGATATATCTCCAAGTTAAAAACTACAATGACATGTATACGCTTTAACTACAAGCAGGACTGTAATTACTGCCAATACCACATTGACTGTGCTGGCACGTCTTTGTGAGTGCATGCTACCACTCAAAAATTCAATTTGAAAATAGAATGTTGACGGGTGTCAACATGTCATGCCAAATCATTCCGGTGCAATCATTCCAGACTGACTTGTGATCTGTTGGACAAATGACACTGGAGTAGTTAGTGCACAACTCGACTACATTCTTTGTGCAATACAGTTGAATGTAGGTATTGGGTGTGCTGTTGATTGTCTAAATGTCCAGTACAGAATGCAAGCATATTCCCCGTAGCATGCTGTGGCGGGATATTGTATGTGAGTATATAGATATATATAGTTAAACCATAATGTGTTAATACATAAAGTTAGTTGCATTTATTTAAGCACTAGTCAGAAGAGTGGACAGAGTAAATCACTGCATGGACATGAATCAGATGCACACTATAAGCATGCCGACTTTTCTGTGTACAGGTCAGATCCATTCATAGATGACTCTTGTCTGTGGTCTCTATCAGACATAGAAATAGTTTGTTCCCTGTACAGACCATGTATCCACCCAACGGCTGCCATTATCAAGAACATCCTCTGCCTGTCTACACGCTTGCATTAATCAGCTACTGGACTCTTGGCATAGAAGGATCAGTCTGAAGTGAGCCAAAACCGGCACAGTTAGTTGTGCCTGATTCATTCAAGGAAGCCGCGCAGATGGACTCTATTCAATCTCACACCAGAAACGGATACTGCTCAATGTTCTGTGCATCAAGCTATCAGGCTGTATGGAAATTAAATAACACTGCTAACTATGTAATTTATTTCAATGTCTGTGCAAAGATAAACCACAGTTCTGCAGATGTCCTGGCTCTAGAAGGGACAGCCATCTAGCGCAGGCGTCATTTCTACGCTTCCGTTGACCATGTAGTTGTTCTGCCTCATCCTGTGGAAGTTAGAGGGATGGTCGAACAGTAATGAGAATGGTGGGTAGTAGTATGTTAGGGCTTTGTTATTCTTAGTTATTTCTAAAACACCTTGAGATAGATCGGCACATGATTCTGCATATGAGCATGCAAACCTGTCTGCATTAAACTCGCAGATATTTGCAATGAAATTGCCAGCCAGAGTGGCGATGAGGAAAAATAATGCGATCTGAGCGCTCACCGTCACGTAATGCTTTAGTGCAGACTTGTTCTCATCCTTCTTAATATTCTTCACCAGAAAGCACATTGCTAGGGATGCAATAATGTAGGGTGCAACGAAGATGGATAAAAGATCAAAGTGTCTTGCATGTCCTATCTCGTGCAACAGCAAAGCCTTGACTGCTTCAAAGCTGTTGTTCTGGATAGTGCCCTTGCCGATTATAATGCTCATCATGGACTTGAATGGAATAGCATTGCTGGCTGCATTGTCAGAAAGCATACCATCTACAACAAACACTCTTGAAATGTCAACATCGAGATCGGCAAAAAACTTCTCATACTGAGAAATGTCCGAGCCTTTGTTTTGGAAGTATTCAGTAATGGGAGTACCTCCCAGAAGATAGGGTGTATAATATGCTCGCAAGAGAACCACTGCTGCGACGAGACAGTTGCCAAAAACTATGAGGCCAGTTGTTGATACCTTTGAGGTGATGAAGGAAACAAGCTTGACAAAACCATATGAGATTATAGTGCCAATAGCAACACCACCTATAATGAAAAATAATTCAGGTGCTACAGCACATGCTACTAACAGCAATAAGCCCAACACTCCCCAGAAAATTTCTCTTTTTGTATATGTAACTTCATCGCAGTCAATGGGTTTAAATTTACTATTCCAAACCTTAGAGTAAAATCCCATCACTTGTAGCACTAAAATAATTCCATACCTAGTAGCAATGTACGAGATCATTGGTGGCCAATAGTCCACATTTACGAGACAGAAGGTGGTGGGCATGGCTGTGTTTACTACTATCTTGGTATTCTCTGGGTAGAACCATCACAGCCCAATGCAGTGGTATGCAAGTGCAGCCGCCAAAATAATTATATGCAGAGATAGATATTTTGTAAACTCACTGGCTAGTGCTTTCTTGATCACAGCATATGAAGTACTGAGAAGATGCTTGAGTCTTCCAACAATGCCTGCTTGTTTGTTAGCCGCATTGTGCGTACCAAGCTTGACATCAGCTAAACTATCCATAATGATTTAATTAAACATTTTGTGATGTGGAAAATCAGACAGAACTTATCAAAAAATTTGATAAAAATTTTTACAAGAACGGTCGTGCCATTGCCTTCTCAACTTTCCTCCCTTGTAATTGATGTACAACTGTGCTCTTACTTCATCATCACATTCTTGAGATCACTTACAGGTAAAAATACCCAACGAGAATTTGTGACGCTACCTACACTTATAATTTATATTGTTTCGGTTTAGTTCTATTCAAAATGAAAGAACCAGCATACTTCAATAAAAATCGCCCGTTAGTTTACTATTTAATTTCTGTATGACTCCTTAAAAATAACCAAGATGCTTTGGAAACATCTTATCAATGCTTTCCTTCATTTTTTTGTCCAATATAAACAATTACTTCACCACGAACAAATCTAGGCACACTGTTTAGCTCTAGTAAAACATTGTGGTGTTCGTCAAAGCCTATGAGCTTGCCCTCTAAGCACTCTCCTGTCCTAATGCCAGCCAATACGTTTTCATTTATGTACTTCTTTAGTATATCTATGGGATCTGTGGTCATCTAAGGGCTATCATTCATTCCTGGAAAATACAAGAATGAGCTGAGGACAGTGGTTGTGGCCTAATGGCTAGAAATCAAGTTGGTGGAAATGCCCATTGCAAATTGCCTAGCCAATTCGTTACTCTTAGCTCAAATGCACTTTGTAAAAATTTTTACAAAAATTTTATCCCTAGTCATGCGAGCATTGTATGCAGAAAGAAGCTTGGATGTTCCTAAGGATTGCAATGTCTCCTACTCTGACGGCAAATTCTACTTCGAGGGGCCGTTGGGGAAACAGATGTATGACGTCGCCAAGACGGGTTTTACTTTTGAAGTAGACTCAGATACGATTCTTATTAAGTGCTGGCATGCCAAGAGAACAAAGCTGCAGCTCATCAACACAATTGCCTCACACATTAGGAACTACATGAAGGGAGTTACCATGGGATTCAAATACGTTCTTAAATGTGTTTTTAGACATTTTCCAATTTTGACTTCTATTGAAAAAGATGGAAAAGAAATTAAAGTACACTCGTTTATTGGTTCTAAGGAGGAGAGGACATACCCTGTGCGTGGTGATACCGTGGCTTTGCTAGGCGAGGAGAAGGATACAATTGTTCTCCAGGGAACCAGCATACTTGATGTTTCTCAGACTGCAGCAGCTGTTTCCAGCGACAGCTTTAAAAGAAAGAAGCATGACGAAAGAATTTTCCTCGATGGAATTTACATCTCCGAAAAGACAAGCATTGTCGTAAATTAAATCTTATCTATCGTTTAAAGTTGCTTGCTTTTATGTTCATCGATGCACATATAGTTTTCGCAATCCACCATTCGAATCTAGTCAATACTGGTGTGTTGTTTAGTATCCAGTCTTTTGATTTGGAGTTTTTTGTCTTCGCTAAATGTCATTTTGTAAACTTCTTTTTAAAAATTTTTACAAGCAGAGCCATGCGAATCCATAAGTGCTGGTTTTGTTCAGCAAACATCTACCCAGGTCATGGGACCACATTCGTAAGGAGTGACTGCACAGTATTTAGATTCTGCAGGCCAAAGTGCTTCAAGCTCTTCAAGAAAAGACTGAATCCAAGAAAAATCAAATGGACCAAGATTTCACGTAAGCTGGCCAATAAAGAGCTTATCAATGATCCAATAATGCAGTTTGAAAGAAGAGTTGATGTGCCTGCCGTATACAACAGAGAAGTCCTTTTGCAGACGATTGATGCAATTCCAAAGATAGCCAAAGTTAAGCAGAGAAGAGAGAATCTCTTTATAGCCAATAGAATACTTTCAAGACAAGAAGAATCAAAGGCCAGAGATCTTAAATTTATCGAGAAGCACAAACATCTTCTTAGTAAGGAGACCATTCAGGTAGAGCCCAGGGAAGCTAAAGCACATAAGAAAACAGAAAAAGAGGCTGAGTACAACTAACTAGTTTTAATAAAATATATTATTGCGCACCTGAAGAATAATTACTTGGCTTTGGTGTTTTATTGCAATTAAGATTATTCGTTCAATATTAATTTTGAGCATCTGGTTAAGCTAGAAGAGCTTGGTGCTGGAACTCTGTAAGGAATAATGTGTCTTTGCATAGGCACATCTCCAAACACCACTTTCAATATGTAACTATGGATCTAATTAATAGTGGAAGGTCCTTGGACTCTATTTTCACCATATTGTGTCCCATTCTTTCTATCTGGATAATTTCTTCGTTTTCAAATTTAACAGTCTCAGAATATAAAATATTGTTGGTTTTATGGATTGTGTAGCTTTGAATTATTCTCTGCTCCGCCTCATTTCTATACTCCAAGTGCATTTTAAACATTGAGTTTAATATTACGGAAACTACACCGATCTGACCCGTTGAAAGATCATCTGTTTTGACTGGAAATATGATGACGTCTCCCACTCGGCTTGCACATAGTGCTGCTTCTTTGAATAAAAGTATAATTTTCTGATAAAATTTTGTGGCCTTTTCAATGTCTATCAGCTTTCTCTTATCTAAGCACATATACGAATGCATATCCTTCTCCCTGTAAAGATAAAATAGAATAAGAAAAGCATGCTCTACTGACGTAATTTCAATATCATGTCCCCAGCTTAAACACAAACTTTTCATATTCTCCAAAGGACGTTGCACAAAGATCTTTAACCTGCGAATCGAGACCAAGATAGGCCTCGTTGGCTGCGCTGATTGATATTCCACGCTTTGCCAGAAACTCTCCTATTTTCCGATCTGAACTGGCGCTTTTTGGATGAAAAAGCTTCTTTTCATGGATGAATCTTAGATCCGATTTAATACACTGAAAAAGTGATGATCCCAGCAGAAACTCCAATCTATTTCGCTTAACAAAAAAAACACCATCCGACCTGCAGTTAAGCACTTTGATTGAAAACACAATGCTGTTATACATTTCCCAGCACTTTTCACATGTTGAATCCTTTAATGCCACATTTACATCTGCTAGTCCACTGTTTATTATCCTGTCTTTGGCTAATGGCCCTTGTAGAGTATTTTTAATATTCTCCAGGTTGGCACTCTCGCATGCAACACCAAAAGAACTGTAAATGCTTTGGTTCGCAAACACCTTGTAGTACGAAAAGCATATTGCAATTGGCCAGAGTGTTTCGATTTTCAAAATATTCATGGACTTTATCACACTATAAAGAATGTCCACGCCAACAGTATTCTTTTGCGCGCAGTAGCATGGCATGCATGGTTCTTGCTCGTTTGACAGGCAGAATTCCTCGCCATTGTGCTCAAAACAGAAATTTATGGAGCTTTCCATATTTCTAAATTCAATCTGATATTGGAAAAGTTCTTTTTTGAGAATCTGGGTGAAAATGAAGATGGAACAGACACTGTGAAGGTTTCTGTTGCAAACTAAGTTTAAAACTTTAGTTTTGTCGAAGGACTGCAGAGTCTTTCTCAAATTTTTGTGATCCAAAAACATTTCAGGACAATTTTTGGAAGATGACTATTTTGAAGACAAACCCCAGTGCAAATGGGCATCTTATACAGAACAGTTGCAGAAACAAGCAGATATGAGCTTGTCTTCTGAGCTTATTTATTGAATGCACACGCTCGCATCATGATTAGTCATCCAAATATATATGCCGAGCATTGCTGCCGGATGCACCGTTCATTTTGTGCTTCTATTATCTTACCCTTAATCTATGAACGAAAATGACTGTGCTGACTCACAAAGGAAAAAGGCAAAAGTAAGTTTGATCTTCAAACAGAAGGTTATGGAGACTCCTATCACAGAGGAAAACGACGAGTCGTTTTATGACGATGGTAGGGTGTGCTATTTAAGGAGAGAGCTTTTGGAGTGCGAAGAATATTTTTTGAAGAAGATAGAATTTTATTTGACAGAGTTTGAAGAAGAAAAAACAAAGTTTACGTCTTTGGTTAGTGATTTAGAACGTGAGCTAGAGGACTCCAGAATGGCACAGTTGGAGCTTCTTGTAAAGATTAAGAATTTAAAAAACAGAATTGTCGAACTCGAAGGCAAAACCCAGTTCTATAAAAACAAGGTGCAGAAATACGAGGGCAGCCAGAATATAACAAACAATAGCTAAGATTTGAGGGGGCAGTGAAGTATGGCGATAGCATTTGCAGAAATTAAGCAACTTGTTGGTATTTTGTTCAATACGCTTCAGCTTATTGGCTGCCAGCTCTTTCTTTAAATTTTTGCCAGGACAAATTTTCATAAGATGCAATAATAAATAAAGTTTAAAGGCAATGAAGCAATTTTAATAAACTATTTCCCCGAGTTGGCTTGCAACCAATTCTGCCTCTGTATATATAAGGCTCCCTTGGGACATTCAACTATACTAGGCGTCATTCTTACAGCTTTTGTGCTAATAAGCACAGGACTAATACAATATACCCTTCGCAAATAATGGGATAGATGGCTTTGATAACGGGCACAGAATTTTCAATCAACCGTAATTTTTTGATTTAAAATGCCAAAGCAACAATTGGAAGCTGCTGTGAGTATCAGAAGAATATAACAACTAGTCATGATTGTAAATACTTAAGCATTCCGCAAAGATTGTCATGCTTATCTTGATTATCATTTTTCTTTTTAAACTCATGAACATAAAGAGCACGAATGCCAGAAGGATCAGCACATATACTGAATCGCACGGATACACCGACGTTGGTGGGCATCCATTGCAATGGAGCGAAGCACAAGGTATATGCATAAAAGAAGAGATTTTCTATCTACAAACATATTTCAGCAGCAGACAATGATTTGATAGAGATTTAGTCCCTAATTACCGTGTTGTACGTTAAAGCAAGTATAATCAAAATCCAAACAAATAGAAATGGACAGAAGCTGAAAAGCCTGGGCTCAGTTTCTTTTTATAACTGAAAGTACAATACCTAAGAATAAATATGGGCCAGCAAAAAGTAAAAATTTTTAGAACCTTGGAAACACACTGGCTAAATACAAATCAATGTAAGCAATGGGGTAAGTCCACTTTTATTTCAAGATACGTTTTCTATTCGTATCAGAGCGTCAATAAAATAGCATGAGATATTGCCCAATGCAGCATGACGGTGTTGGCATCTACTATGGCGGTTACAAGAATGCTTATTTCCACTGGAAACATCCAACACACTGCTCTATACTCTTTTGCTCCTTTTCATATTGGAAAAAGGAACATTCACTTTCTTCTCCTTTGAGTAAAGGAAAGTTTAAAACAAAAAATTTTGCAGGGGGCTGCATATGGCAAGACTAGAAACGGGTCTAAATACTTCGTTTAACTACATGGAAGAGAGTGATGAAGCATATCTGTATGAGGAAAACACCGTAAACTCTCTTAAGCTCAAAAATCTGATAGATGAGGATGCATACAACAGTGCAAGATTTGGAGATGACCATAAGTACATAAGCTCGAAGAAGAGAAGAGATAAAAAAAAGAAAAAGAAGGCTGGTGAAGAAATACGAAAAATAGTAAATAGAAAAGTGGTAAACTTGCCTGCATCTCAACCCTACATAAAGCTTGTTGATGGAGAAGAGAGGATGTGTTTTAAGTACAATACAAAAGTAAGTGAATCAGCATTGAGTACAATGCCAAAAATAGAACTAGAAGAAAATGAGTTCTGTGTTAGATTTGACCTGGACAGTGTAGATATAAGTAAGCTAAATGAGAAATTCAAGGCAGATAATTGTGTATATCCAAGAGCTAATATTCCCTATGAAATGTACACTGGTAATAGATGGAACTACGAAACAGAGTGTAATCGACTAGCTTGGCAGTTTGTATCACTCAACCCAGTGCTTCTATATGGAAAGAAAGGGCTTATACAACGAGCCGTAGATTCATTTAGAAACATCAGTAAAACGAGTAAGGGACAGAAATTTTACAAAGAAGAAACGTTTTATGGAGACATTGAGAAGAGAAAGCATCTTTCTCCTGCTGTTTCTTCTGTGCTTATCTCGTGGTCTTCTCGTGGGACAACAAAAAAGTGCAAGGTGCAGGTGGGTGTTGATAACATTGACTATTCTAAGATATCTGACGAGTTTAAGGCTAAATACTCGGTGCTTGATGATAAATTTGACGAAAATAGCTTTGGACTTGAAAGATGGGAGAGCAAAAACGAGGACAATGAGCTTGCAGTCAAGATCGCTTTTTTAAATGTTGAGAACACGTCCTTTCTAAATGCGATCAAGGCTGTTGGAGTGCACACTGTTCTTAAAAGAGCCGTGGGTGCATACAAGCACAAAAAGGATGAGCTTCTAGCGATGAGTGAAGACGCAGAAGCCCAGGATGTTGTGACCAGTGCGCTGGACTACGCATTTAATTCTGTAAATTTAAGTGACAAAGAAGAAAATTAATTAAATAATCTGTTTAATTGCATAATACGTTTGTTTCTAGTGCGGTTTGCATCTTGTAATTCGTTGGGCACAGTAAAATTTTTATTTTTGTTTCATACTGTTGACTAATAAAATGAAATCGTAAAATACAAGTACAAGGCATTTGGCAATGACAAATGTTTAAATCAACATCATGAAACACTGTTTTAAAATGTTTATCTTTTTCACATAAATTTGCAATCTTAAGTGTAAATATGATACCGATACTTCTTCTCATTCTTGCTTCTGCACAAGAAGAGCAGTGCACGTTACTCACAGATGGTATCGTTGTCTCAAAGTACCACTTAAACAACTGTGCTGCCTGTGTAAAGTTCAATCCAGTCTATGAGGAAATCAAGAGCCGAGCTTCCAAGGAACAATTGAATATCAAGTTCAGAGAAGTCGAGTGTGGCGCATGCGACTGTGGGGATGTCTCTCGGTTTCCTACCCTTGAGATTACCCAGGATAAGCAGTCAAAAGGCACCTCAGTTGGATATAAAGACTATCAATCGTTTGCAAAATGGATCACAGATACCCTGCTGCTTGATCATAATGTCTTTGTTGACCATATTGATCATGAAGAAGGCAAAGTAAAAACCCTGACAGCCTCAGACTTTCTTAGCGGATTTGACGGTCAGTGGTTGATACTGTTCTACGACAGCCATAAGGATACAAGAAGACACCTCTTCAAAGAACTTTCAAGTGCCTACAAAAATAAAATAACAGTGGCGGAGGTGGAGTCACGAGAGGCTGAAACAGTTATGGCAAGGTACAATATTGGTGGTTTTCCATTCATATTGGCAATCAACAACGGAACTCCAGTTCCATACACTGGTAAGGCTGACTTTGCCAACCTTAGTGCTTTCGCAGAGAAACTGTACACACCTGCCTTCCAGGAGATCAAATATTCAGAATTGAAGGATATTACTAAGAGCTTTAATAATGGCGAGCCAGTATTTATAGTACTTTACAAAAACTTTGAAGTTGCTTCGTATTACTTCAATGAACTTGCGCAACAGTTCAAATTTAAGGCTACAATTTACAGATCAAGCGATCCGGCCATGTTTACAGCCGCAGGCTACCATCCAAAAGATGCAAATGAATTTGATAAGGATCCTGACCATAGCCAGATGGCATACTTGACGGTGTACAAGAATTCTACCTTCTTTAATTCCAATGTTAAACCAAATGACACGAACGAAATCATCCAGTGGATCTTTCACACCCACTTTCCTCATGTTACAAATATTAACAACGACAACTTCTACACAGTCTTCCATGGAATTAAGCCCGTCATACTCCTTCTTACGAGTAATGACCAGCTGGTCGATAGCTTTAATAAACTCAGTGCAACCTGGCATCTGGGTGCTGCTGCTTCGAATATCATATTTGCTACTCTTGACACGGTTGAATATCCCATGTTCAAACAGGAGGTGCTCAAGTACGTTGCTGAGCCAGGCATTGCATTCTTTGATCCAGTGCTGTCTCAATGGTACCATCAGCCTACAAAGCTTGTATCAGAAACTTTCAACAAGACTGTTATGAAAATGATAGATTCCTACTTCAATAAGAACTTGCCAGTATATTCGTCTAAGAAGAATAGAAGTAATATTTATGTCATTCTTGGCATTGCCCTGGTAGCATGTGTGTTTGGGTACAGGCTGCGCACAATGAGAAACAAGGTTGATTAAAAGATGATATTCTAAAATGATTTATTTTTATATATTTAAATGCTCGTCTGTCTGATCTGTTATTCATTTTTATCCAATAGTATGTTTATTTAGCTGTTTCAGGTGGACTAAAATTAAATTCTGCAGCAATCAACAATGGACTATTTATTTTGGATATTCTATCTCTACGACAGGAAGATAAGCATTGGCGTGCAGTTCATTCTCACATTTCTAACTTATCTGCTCGTTAAGTACCGATACAGACAGCCTTCTACTTACCTCGTTCTAAAAAAGAGTACCAAGGAGCGTCTAATAAAGGCATTCAATCCCGAGCCGTTGATTTTAGATAGCGTTACTCCTTACAAATTTAAAACGGTCAAATATAACTTTAGCAACCACGATGTTTTTAATCTCGGAAGGAAGTTCAAAGATGAGATCAAGGCCACTATTAGAGAGTACGGTGTAGGAACTTGCGGCCCACGCGGATTTTATGGTACATTAGATATCCACCTGGACCTCGAAAAGAAAATATCCGAGTTGTTTGGTAAGGATGCAGCAATTATCTACTCAAACTACTTCACCTGTGTACAAAGCGTGATCTCCTGCTTTTGTAGGGCAAGAAACAACGTATTTGTACATACAAAGGCCTTCAATGCTATTCATAGCGGAGTTCTCCTTTCTCGTGCCAACAAACATACATATGACACGCTGGAGGATCTAAAGCACAAACTCGACACAGATTTAACAGACAAATACCTGATAGTGGAGAGAATAGGATGGAACACAGGGGAAATGGTAGATCTAAACACCATTGTAGATCTAAAGAAAAGATATGGATTCAGGATAATACTGGATGAGGCATGTAGCATTCCATTTGTGTACCAGAAGCCTGAAGATCAGGATCTGTATTCTCAGATAGATCTTATAATAGGATCATTAAGTCTGGGATATCCTACGAATGGAGGATTCTGTGCTACATGCAGAGAAGCTGTTGATTATCAGAGGCTGAGTGGATCGGCATATGTGTTCAGTGCCTCACTTCCGGCTTTCTTGTCCAAGGCAGCATTGTGCATGCTAGCCGAGACGCTAGACTACAGAAGGATCAGAGAAAAAATCAAGAAGGCACAAGAGCTCATTCCAGGCATAGTTTCTACAAGCAAATCGCCAATACTCTTAATAAAATGCGATGACCTATATGAAAAGCATAATCAACTGAGGGAGGAAGGATATGTGATTGGTATGTGTGGGGAGTATCTGAGAATTTGTATAAATGAAGAGTGCGATGAGAAAGATCTAAAGGCAGTTGGGGATATACTAATCAGAAATAAATGACCAAAATACCTTAATTTGTTTGAAATTTGAAAGAGCGCAAGATAATTTAGACACCACTGACTGTGCTATATCCACAGTTGGCACTATAAATTTAAGCTTGAGAATACCCATCAACACGCAACACCAGCCAAATGGCCGAAGTTACATTTACGCTTTGATATGCACGCTCTTTTTAACTGGAAATCTTATAAAATCAAGGACCTTTAGGACTTCTTCAACTCTTTTGTTTTCCGAAGGCAACATTTCGAGAAGATTAATAAAAATAGTAGCATTCACTGTATCAAAGGAATTTAAAAGATCAGAATAGCACGCTTCTAGCTCCTTTGTAAAATCTCTGTGCTTTAAAATGGCCTGTTTCAGTGCGCATAAATTTGTTAGTGCTTTATTCATGCGTAGACTATGGGAAGGGAGGATAGAAATCAAACTTGGCAAAATTCCGTCAGTGTTCATCTGAAATAACACTTCAGACCATTTCTAATGCACAAATCCAAATCACACATTAATGACAATCGTTTATGCGTGTTGGTAGTTAACCTTGTCCAGCCTAATTGAAACTTGAGGCATACGATCCAAAATATATATGGGTTTTATAATTAGTACTACCATGTACTGGAATAGATTTCATCAGTAAATCTTTTTCGAGCTTTAGGTCTTTATTATTTCTTGATTTTAAAAGGGCAAATGATTGGTGTGAGAAGATTAGAAAAGGCTGAAATAAAGAACAGAAAGGTGCTGTTGATAGTAGACTACAACACAAAAGAGCTAAATGGCAGTGTATTCAAGGTTGACCAAACGCTTCCGACAATCCAATACGTGCTGGACAAAGAACCTGTGGTTTTGTTTATTTTGACACATCTAGGAAGACCCAAAGATAGAAAGAGTCACTCAACACGTCCTTTGTACAACTACTTGAAAGAAAAAATCAGTAAAAGTAATAAAATCATTAGGTATGTGCTAGTCTCGGAATATTCGCCATCGAATGGTATTAAATCAAGCAAGGAAGGAAGTATCCTTTTTGGCGACAATTCTAGATACTATTCTAAGGCGGAATTAGAGGACTTCTACACCAACTTTGATATAATTATCAATGATGCATTTGGATGCGCTCATAGAGAAGCTCCCTTCAGGGCATATGCAGGGTTTCTGATGATGAAGGAGATTGAGGCGCTAAGTCTAGCATTGGGCTGTGACTTTCTCATAATGGGAGGTGCTAAAGTGTCGGATAAAATAAAGCTAGTACAGCAGTTCAATACGACGGTATTTCTGGGAGGGGCAATAGCTACGAGTATCTACAAGAGTAAGGGCTATGAGGTAGGTAGCAATACACTTGTAGAAGAGATTGTAGACATTTCAATCAACAACAAGGTAAATAATATCATTCTTCCTGTCGATTTTATTGTTATAAACAAAGAACAGGGATATGAAAATAAAGAAATAGGAGCAATACTAAAAACAGATACAGTAATTGATATCGGAAGTAAGTCGGTAGAAAACCTAGAGAGATTGGTAGGCAAGAGTAGGTTTATTCTCTGGAATGGGCCCCTGGGAAAGTTCGAGGATCCAAAAGCTAGATCCACCCATCTACTTGTAGAGAAGTTAATTAAAGGTAAAGCCAGAGTTGTTGCAGGGGGAGGAGAGACAACAAGTGCAATATTCAGATGCAATGCTTCTGCAGGTTCGGAGCTCTATCATATTTCAACAGGTGGCGGAGCCATGCTAAGTTTTTTAGGAGGAAAGCATATGCCGGGTATAGAAAGCGTGGAAGATAAAGTTTGATTCAGGTAGCGTTTATCAAAAATGACCGTTATGGTATTAATAAAAATACTGTCTCAAAGTGGCAGCCGCCTATACAAGCACAAGGAGAAGTCGACCACTGCATTGAAGAAATCCTAAACGTAAACCAAAATACACTAAAAATACTTGTTTAATCGTACAACCTATTCGTATTCTATTTCCAGGTCTTCTTGGTCTAACTGTCTTCTTTTCTGTATCTTGATTTTGTTTCTAATTGGAATTACTATTCTTTCCGTATCTCTTTCGGCATTTATTCTCATGCATACGTGTCGCTGTAACTTGCTTACTGCTTCTCTCAATGTTTCAATATCAACGGAATCTCTTGAAAGTTCAAGGAATTCCAGAAAGAAAAACTTGAAGTTCCGATCATTTGTGTTGTATCTCTTTAAAACCACCCTAGCTTCTTTTTGGTAGAAAGATGGAGGAAGAGAGTTGGCAAGACTAAGACTGTTTAGATTCAGACTTACGTTCTTTACATTTGTCTTATTTGCTCTTTTCATCTGTGCACTGCTATTTCCAGGGAGGAGAAAAATTCACATCAATAAAGGAGAACAGATACTTAAATAAAAGGCCAAGTAAGCCGTTATAGTCCAGTGGTAGGATTTTCGCTTAGGGTGCGAGAGGTCCCGGGTTCGATCCCCGGTAACGGCCGGCTGTTTTGGTCTTAAATAGAACTTATGCTTTATGCTGGATGGCCGAGTTTATGTGCTGTCAGACTTCACAAGCATAGCAGAAAGTTTGATTAACAGCCAAATATTAAACATAAATTTAATCTACAACAGCATCGCCCTCAATCCTGTCAACGTCACATTCACCCATGAAAATATTGCAAAAACACTCGCAACTGCATTCCTGTAAAAACTCTGCAATCCTTCCAAGTCAATAATCTTCAGTTTCTTTAAAGCCAAATCTTGCTTGGAACTCAAAACTTCCTTAATCCTTCTGGAGGCTTTATACAAGGCATTGGGGAATGAATGTTCGGAATCCTCGTTTTTTTCAACTTCAATGTTTTCGCTTCCCACATCCATTTTGGCTCTTTCAAGCTCTTTTCTTCGTTCTTTTATTTCACTTTCTATTGCTCTTATTTCATTTTCCACCTTCAACAGCTCTTCGTATAATTGCTTGATGCCTTCATATTCCCTCAGCTCGGAACTAAGCATATCGTATCTCTGCTTCTCGTATTCATGCTTTTCGCATTCTTTTGATAGCTTTGACAGTCTTGCATTGGACCTTTCACTCTCAATATCCAGCTCCTTAATGCTTGCTTCAGTTCTATTCAGCTCGTCCTCCTTCTGTCTTAGCTCTGCAAATGTAAAGATAACCTCGTTTTTTAAATCTTCATATTCCATCATCTTGTCTATAAAATCTCCTTTAACATGCACTCTTCCTTCAATTTCAGTAGTCTCGACCTCAAAGGATGAGAATTTATCAGACAGCACCCTCTGCTCTCCTTTGATTGCATTAATCTCAGATTCAAGCTTGGTTACTCTCTGGTATACTTCATCTTTGTCTTTGCGTAATTGCTCTACCTTTCCTGCCTTATCAAGTTTTAAAGCATTTAGTTGAGTATTCAAGGCGTCGTTTTCCCTTTGAAGATTTGAAATGTCTCTTTTTAACGCCCTATAATCATTCAACTTTCCATGAATATTATTGGCTGCAATGGCTTGGTTGGCTGCAGTCAGTCTGGCATTTAGTTGCCTTATTTCTTCAGTTAACTGGTTGTTCTCAGTATCAACAGTTCTGAGTCGCTGGCTTTCATCTTCATAGAGCCTCAGTTGATTCCTCAACGGTGTTAATGCACGGAGTATGTTACCACGAAGATCATTGTTTGGATCCACTGGTGGCATGATCCTTGTCAACTGAGGAGTTAGCTGGTCTATTTCTGTGCTATTGATTGTAGTGGTACTTGCAAGAGAGAAAATCGCAATCCCAAATCTTATAATGTGTTTCGCTTTTGCTTTGCAATGCATAGTGGGTGGCATTTGCAAATTTTTTCAATCCCTCTCAGAACCAAGGAGAATGGAAATAGAATATGTGTATAGAACAAAGATGTGCTCATCAGTCGCATCTTTTCTTATCCTGCTGCTCGATATCGTATTGTCGCTGGATGCAAACGAAGTAGCACGTAACTTCCAAAGTAACAATAGAAATGTCTTACAACGTCTGGTGCTAGAAATCCGAAATGAAGAAACCGTGGCAAACAGAGCACTTGCACAAACAACCAATCAGCTGAATCTGTCTAGACAAGCCAATGGAAATTTTAAACAAGCGGCAGACCCACTCAGGGATAACGTCATAGCGCTAGAGAAAGATGTGAGAGAGTTCAATGATAACAACGTAGATGCATCAATACCTGTGTTACAGCAACAGAAGCGGGATCTGCAGAGTACCCAAACTGTTCTGCGGACTCAAATTAATGTTTTACCTAATACTGATCTTCAAGCGGTCACAGATGAGAAGGATGGGTACCTGAAAAAAGAAAAAGAACTAGATGAGGAGCTTAAGAAACAGCAGGAAATTAGCAAGGCCATTACAATGTTTTCGGAGACCGATGAAGAATTCCTAACAATACTAAAGATGGAGCCATTCTCTGCATATGCAAAATATACAAATGAGTATGACAAAAATAGTATACGAATCCAATCTGAGTTAGAAAAGCTCATAAAAAGTCTAGATGACCTTAAAAAAGACTATGAGAAAAAAGCTAGCAAGAAAGACCATCTCGTGAAAGAGAAAGAGTGTATGAAAGAAAAGATAACGAACTATGATGTATTTTTGAAAGGATTACAGGACCTTGGGGACGGCTTTTTGGAGAATCTAAAAGAAAGATTGGATAAGATCAAGGAAGAGCTTAAAGCTCTTGGAGCAAATATGGAGGGACTATCACCTTTGGAACATCCCAGGCTGGCACTGCTTGAATTGCAGTCAAGGATTGAAAAAAAGAATGAAGAGAAAAATATAATGCAGAGCAATCTTTTGGAAATTGAAAAGAAGATGGAGGAATATGCCGAGCAAGTTCCAGATAAGAGTATTGAGCTTACATCCACTGATTCAAACAAATTGGAAGAGGCCATGTTTTTGGAAGAACAGATGCTAGCACTAAACAGGGTCAATAAAGAATTTCTGTCTGATTTGCTGGAACACAGCCGTTTGAACAAGATCATTGAAGATTTGACATCAAACATGACAAAAAAGGAGGTGGCATATTTGTCTATATTTTCACTGGGAACTTTTGCTTATATAATTTATAATATTGTATTAATATTTATTTAAGGAAAATAAGCTTAAATTGAAGCCATTTCTGATGATTTCAGGTTTTAAAGAGGCAATATTTGTGAACAAGAACGAGCTTTGCCGAGGCCCACTACAAGGTGGAATTGCTATCTAAATGAATAAATAAACTGGCCAAGCATACCTGATTTTCAACAAAGGTCTTTATTCAGCATAAAGCCAGAAGGTACTACACTATAAATGTAACTATTAATTTACTTTGTATCCCAACTGCAGAAGAATTGCCTTCTCACTATCAATAAACTATTATTTTAATTTGTGCATTGCTTGTATTTGCCAAATCTTAGGGAATCTATCTCTACCTCCTCAATCTTCTCATGCTTAAGTGGGTGGTATCTGACTGCTGGTCTTGGAAGAAGCGTGTTTTCACTAAGTGTTACTAAGGTATTTTCTGATACAGTGAGTGGCCTCTCATCTGTCTCGTAGACTTTAACTAGCACTCTTCCTTGTAATCCAAATATCTCTCTGCCTATCCTTACATAAAGAGTAGACCCATCAAAGCATCCAAAGTCGATATTGCAAGCAGGGATGTACTCGACTTCCTTGTCCTTATACATCATAATGCAGGTCTTACAGAAAATGGCAATCTGCTGTTCATTCCCTTTTTCAACACAGAACGAGTAGGAATCTGGCGTGTAAATAGTCCTGACTACGTTACCCCTAAAGTCAATAATATTTAGATTATTACAGTCAAACGCATAAATAAAGTTGCGATCAATTCCAAGAAGGGAGCAAGGAATAGGCTTTTGCCAAACATCATTGAAGTTTATGACATTTCCATCACTGAGAACAAAGTTCTCGCCACAAAATGATCCAAGCGTGGATTTCAGAGTATCCTTGATTTCTATTGAATCTGTCTCGTGGTTGTGAAACTTAATATAAACCTGGCTTGAGAGAGCTGATTCAAGGGAAATCATGTACCCTTCGGACGAAAAGAAGTGGAGCCTGGCTTCCTGGTTTTCATAAGAGGATGGGTTTCTTTTCAGTACTGCAGTATTTGGGTTAAACGCAGGCGTGGCGGGATTATTCGCAAAAACTTCACTCTCCTCAGACGATACCATCACCTGTCTTTTACTAATCTTGACATTACTTTTATTTTCACTGGTTTCTCCAGTACTATCTTGAATATCCCTTTTACCAACACCATTCTCTTTACTGTTTGCACTACTTTTACTAGTGCTATCTTTACCAATACTTAACCTATGTTTTGGAAAGCTTCTCTTATTTCCATCATCAATGTAGCTGTACTTCTGCTCATACTCTTCAGCACTTACCGTCTTTTCTTTAATATTCACCTTTGTAAACTGCATCTCTACCTTCTCAATATCTCTTAAATACGTATCCATACTCTTCAAGACTCCGTCCTGCTCTTCCACAATATAGCATCTGCCCTCTCTTGAAACTACCGTAAACTCGTTAGCAAAAAATCTTCCTAGCTCCTGCCCCATGCAGTCATAACACCTTACCCCTCTGATATTCCTGGTAAACATTATTCCACCCAGAGGGCTGAAAACAACTTCATCTACATCATCCTTCAGCTCAAAGAGAAATCCAAAGGCATCCTTGGTGTTGACATACACTTTATTTTCAGATATGGCATACAAACATCTATCAAAAAATATTTTGGGCTGTATAAAATCAAAACAGGCATTTTCTGGATACATCGTTATTCTATTGCGCAGATCCGTTACATATATCTTGATATTATCACTTTTTATTGTACTAACAATACCTGGATGTCTATAGGTTTTATGCAGTTTGAATAGATGCTCGTTGAATGTATGAACCTCTAGTGTTCCATTATCATATCCAAGATATAGAAAGCTCCCATTCACAAATATGGACGATACTTTAGTGTTTCCATGTGCCTTTATTGCCTCTGTTCTCTTTTCAGTCTCGATATTATAGGTGAGCAAGCCATAGTCATTGGTGAAAAAAATTGTAGAACCAGAGAGTTCAAATAGATTGCAGGATTGCTCTTTTAGAGTTTTGTAGAGCTTGAGAGTGTTGGCATTGTAGATCTTGAAGCCTCCGTTGAACGAAACAATGAATTTACTATTACTCAGCAATGTGCTCATTCTATCCTTAATTTTTCTTGGGATAGGAACTAAAGCATTTTAATATAAGGAAGGCGAGACAAAATGAGTGGTACTGAAACAAGCTGGTATGCTAATTGCAGCCTACCCTATAGGTATCGTTGTTCTTCAATTGATTTTTCTGGAGCTGATAATAAGAAAAATGAAAGAATGCTGGCACAGTATATAGCATCAAAAAACCTTAAGTCCTAAAGGGGCTCCAAGGATATCAAAATCATAATGTACATTTAAATGGCGAGTGTGAATAAATTCGTCAGATGTATTACTCTTTTAAATATTGTTCTTGTTCTTGAGCCGTGCAAAATTTTTTTACAAAATTTTTGCTTCCCTCAAATGGGAATAAACAACAGTGGAAACCATAAAAAAACCAAGTCTGGCGCGAAGCTTGGTAGATTCTGCAAAAAGAGAAAAAACAGAATGGGGAGGCAACCGTCCAACACTAGGGTGGGAGAGACAAGAATAAGAGAAGTCCGAGTGCGAGGAGGAAACTTGAAGATGAGGGCTCTTCGTCTCAACAGCGGAAATTTCAAGCTTATAAGTGCAAACTTTTCTGCAGATTCTCCCATTGAGCAGGTTGTATACCATCCCAGCTGCAACGAGTTGATGAGGACCAATACTCTTACGAAGAGTGCTGTAGTAAAGATTAGCTCTGAGCCATTCCTAGAGGAACTAAAGAAGACCGACCTTTCCGAGAAAGATAAAGTACTAACAGCAATGGCAAGCAAAGGATTTTTCCTTGCTATTATTACCACCAGGCCAGGACAGGAGGGAAGTGCTAATGGATATATTCTTCAAGGTGAAGAGCTCGATTTCTACCAGTCGAAGCTTAAGAAGGGTAAGATTCTAGTTTAAATAAAAGAATTAAGTGATACATTTGATTTTTTAATTAGCATACTTGCCTACTACACGCAATAGCGATATGAAATAGCAGCTAGCTACAAAAAGTAATACTTGGGCTAAAATAGGGCCTTGTTTAAATAAGTATACAATTTAATACTCTATAAAGCTATCTTTAATCAGTTGCTTCTTCAATCTCTATTGGCACTCCTGATATTATCTCGTCCTCAGTTTCATGTATTATCTCTCTTTTGAAGACTAGGTCAGCCCTGCAAATAGGGCATGACACTTCTCTTTCACACCACATCTTAAGGCATGATGAATGAAATACATGCGAGCACTGGAGCTTCTTTCCCTTAATGATATCGTCGGTACATATTGCACATGTGCCTTTTACGTCAACCTCACTGATAGACTCGAGATCAATAAGTAGTTTGATATACTTTTTGAATAGTACTGACTTTTTATAGAGTTTCAGAAGGGTGGAAATCAAAGATTTCATAATTCCGTAGGGGAACCTATTGCGTACGGAGAATCTTAGGATAAACATCAAGAAGGCCAGACTTTTCAGAGCAAGAAAGACTATCTTAATGATAGAGACAAATAGTGTTCGGTTGTTTTCTATATTGTTAATATCTAAAAGCATTATTAACTGGTTCTTCAATAGGCTAAGAAGAATCAGGGAATACTCCAGGATCATAAGCATGGATATTGCAGTGCTTGAAGATAAATAGTGCATAATAATGGCAGATGTAAGTGTCTGAACTGCTGCGCTTGCATATACAATCCTATAGCTGGGATTCTTCTGGGATTTTATGTCCAAAGTCCAGGTAAATGACTTAAAGGAGTAAAGAATGCTGAAGACTATGATTGATTTAACCGACACTTCATGAGAAAACATGCTTATAAGCATCACCAAATCACCCATCACGTTGTATACCTTCTCGTTGTACATGGTAAACTCCGATGGGGTCAGATGTCCTAGTATTTTGTTTGTAGAGTAGGAGCTGAGTGAAAGTATAATACTGGCGATAAAAGATGAATGCAGAAGATGGAGTAGTCTATTAGATGCAATGGTCTTGAAGAGTGCAAAGAAGGACGATCTTCCACAGACGATGAGGCAAGAAATTGCCAGAACCAGAAAATTTAGTACAATGAGGAATGCTGATTTCATGGGCAAAAGAAGTACAAGAAACATAACTTTGAAGTGGCCGGCACATAAAATATAAAAAGCACGTTGATATTAGACGTCACATTTATAAATGCCTAACATAAAAGCACTTAATCAGGCTATTCATAGAATACCGCCTGCTGTTAACGAAAATAGATGGGACTACTTTAATGAACATTTTGAAGCTCACACTGATGAGTGAGTATGGGGCTATAGCTCAGTGGTAGAGCGCTTGCTTTGCATGTAAGAGGCCATGGGTTCGAATCCTGTTAGCTCCATTTTCTTTTGAATCCAGCACAACATGTCCGTACTGGGTTTAAAGATTAAATGCTTATAAAGTCTTTGTTTATGCTGCAACTCAATTTATTAGTATAGAGGGAAGAAAGTCATAAGTATGTGCTTGTTTCTCTTTCAGTCAAAGAATCTTATACGCTTTAAAGCATATCCGAGGTCTCATAATACTATGCTGTAGTCTCGCCGCTTATTGGTTGATACAGCAATTGCTGGTGTGCCATTTCAGAGTGTTGCGAAGGAGAGCATTACAGCTTGTAGTAAGATGGTGTGCCACTAACTTTTTATTTGTAAGTGAAATACCATGAATGAGAAATGGTGGCAAATATGCTTTAAAAACGCTTTAAGTACACTCATTTGCATATTAAAGAAAATACAACAAGCTTCTGACAAAATAAAACTTCCACAATACAGATTCAGAACAGATATTTGCAATAGAAGCTTCTTTCATCAGAAAGTATGTGAATTGCATGTTTGTTTTTAGTCAGTGATCTTTCTTGAGATGCAAAACTAGCTCAGATCTTGTCTTAAGGACTTCTTTACAAATCCCACAAGTCCTGAAAATAGGATGGTCTGCACTTTGCCAGGTACTTGGATCGCACTCAGCTTTCAAGCTGTCATTAGAAGTTAAATTAACACCAATATCTTTATAATGATCCTCGCTCAAAGCCTCATCGATACTGTGATTGTCTTTACTATTTTGGCTACACTCAACATTCCGACAGTCTCCTCTTTCATCAATACTTTTATCAGTAGTGTTGTTATCTACTACATTCTTGCTCTTGTGTTGCCTGCTATTCAAATGATCCCTTAATGTATTGTCGCTGTTAAATCCTTTTTTGCAGGCTTCACAAAAATGTTTCCACTGTTTTTCCTTCTTTTCATAGATTTTGGCACTGTGTTTGTAACTCTTGCTGTCAATAGCACATTTATTTTCTCTATTATTTAATCTTGGATCATTCTCTTTGATTATTCTTACAATCCTTCTTACCTTATTTTCAAGAGCCTTGTCTGCTGCAAGAAAATGACTCCAGAAACTGTAAAATCTCAAAAAGTCAGAATCTTTAAACTTGACAGGCGCTTTGATTTGAAAACGATTGGACAACTTCTCAAAAAAGTCGTGGGAAAAGTGGGTAAAGTCAAAAGGTTTAGTAAATCCTTTGTATTTTAGCACTACGGAACCGTCGCTATTTCTGATAATTTCCAGATCATACTTGTCTGCTGTATTAAGTCGGCACCCACCTGTTGTAGCGTCTGCATTTGAAACAGATTGTGCACTCTTGACTTTCTTTAGCTGTTGACTTTCAAATTGGTTGATGACCGTTCTTTCTTGAGCTTTGCCCGTGCCATATATTCCCGTATAGATTAAATAATAAAGATCTACGTCCACACTGCTTTTAAATAGATTGAACGCGTCATTTATCTCAACTAGCTTGTCGTTGTTTCCTTGGTTTTCATAGAACAGTTTGATGTATACTTTTCTAGCCTCTTCGACTGTTATCAGCTCTTGAACACCTAAAACAGATTCAAAGGACAAAGTAATGCTGCTGTCTTCACTGGCTTCTTCTTTAATTCTTGAGAATGCATGGCCCATGTGGAGGGCACTTATCCAAGAAAGCCAAGGACAATCTCAAGTGTGGGTACGTAAATACCATCCATGCAGAAAAGTACATCGATTGAATTAATTAAACAGGCAAGTTTCTATATGTACAAAGTCAAATCTATCAACAGTGGGGCATAAACCAGCTTAAGGGTATTTGAATAAAAAAATCTATCCCATTTTAACTAGATTTTTAATATCTAACTGCTGATTGGTACTCATTCCTAGTCCCTTTAATTGCTCACCATCTTCAATGGCGCATAAAATAAGGAAATGTTCTCCTTAAAATGATTTTGAAGGTTACTCTCTTAGTTGTTCTTGTCCAGTGCACACAAACCTCAAGCACCAGCAAGGTGAACGTAAAAAGTGTTGAAGTGAACAGAGATAGACACAATGCACCCGAGTATGCTCGTTCGGATATTCTCACATTCATTTTAATATACACCAGTATTTTATCAAAATATTATGTTCCAGCACTAGTAAATGTAAAGCAGACAGAAGATGAAGTGGCAAGGAAAAATACCGTGGTTGACGATGCACTAAAGTCTGAAATACTGAAGTTTAAAACAAATAAAAATCCATACTTGGGGAGATTTGATATTCATTTACATGACGAAGACATCCGAAAATTCGAAAGATGCTCTGACTTTCTTATATCACTAATTAACAACAATTTCTTCATTACAAAGGAGAAGATAGAAGCATTTGCAGACGACGACTTTAAGAAACAGACACTTGCAGACAAAGATTTTAAGAAACAAGCAATAATGCAGGGAGATTTGTCCATTCTTAAGATCGTTTATAATCTAAACAGTCAGTATGACGTATTCAGCCCGCCCTTAAGCATCCCAGTAAAAAATTTACTTGTAAAAATTTTTGCAGAGCTAAAATACCATATTGAGATAGTCAGTACAGTTATAAACAAATCTGACAGTGACAAGCTGGAAAGCAGTCTAAATGTAGCTTATGACAGTCTTATATCTTTGTTGTATTTCTTTGTCTACGATGAGAAATATAAAAAAGACTTGATTCCTCAGAACCTAGGCATGCTACTTGATAAGGTGTTTAAGTCAGTAGGGGAGGATTATAAAAAATTGGAAAAAAAATTTTTGACAGAACATGAACTTTTAAAGAAGTGTTTATTTACTGAAAAATGGAGCCTTAAGAAACAAATCGAAGTAAAAAGAAGAGCTGAGATAAGCAACTATGGTGATTATTTGCGGAGTGCCCTACAATCAAGCCTGTACATCATTGCTGTTGATCTAGAATTAATATATACCATTGCACATGTCGTGAGTAACCTTATTCTCCTATTTGATAATGAGTATCTTACGATATTGGGAAACAGAGTGTCAGACTATTACTTCTTCCCAGGTATATCGTATGCATACTTCTATAATTTAATGTTTCCAAACACTAGGAAGACCACACAGTCAAATGGCGAGAAATTCTTCAAGTCCCTGAGAATCCTGTCATCAAAGCTTATGGCCTTTACACTAAAAAGGTATCTGAGTGATGATGAGAAAGAAAAGCTGAAAGGGGGCTTAATATCAAGGTTTCCAGACATTTACATAGAAAAGACGGCAGAAGAAAAACCAAAAGACGTAATACAAGTAGAAGAAGAAGCAAAACCAAATATAATACAAGTAGAAGAAGTGAATCTAGACACAGACCAGACAGGATATGATGAAATAATGGCAGAGATTGAGGACATTATTGAAATACTATCAGAAGATCAAAATTTAAGGTTAATTGAAATGTCAAAAAGTGCTGGCAAAGAAGCATCAACGTTAATTTCAGCTGTGGCTGAACTGAAGACAGCTCAGAGCAACACAAAAGTTGTAAAATTTACCCTCTTAATAATGGTCTGTGTTGATGTTTTAATGATTGGGTTGTTAATATTTTATATGATGGGGAGCAATTGAAAACAGCTTACTTGAACGTGTTGCAAACTACAATGACACTTTCAATACTGTTTAGCCTTCTTCATAGTCATTTATTTTTAATTCTAGTTCAAATAGGAACAAAATAAAGAGTATAAAAGTTTGTTGCCGACATTCAATTTTGCAGTTTCCGAAATTTACTTGTTTTGCTCAGTCCTTTCATTTTTTTCAATAAAACTTGCGTCCCTCAAAAAGAAAACTGCACATGCGTGAACTTTGGCTTGCTAGAAACACAATCATTGAAATGCTCAATGAAAGAGGATACTCATCTTCCAACATGCCCTTGGATTACGCCTCTTTTGTGTCCCAGTTTCCCAACGCAGAAAATAATCCCAGTACTCTCAATTTTGTCTGTTCAAAGGACCAGCCCTTTGCTGTCCACTTTACAAGTGAAGATAAGCTTTCAAAAAAGTCTCTTGAAACACTTACAAATGAATACGCAGCCCAGGGAATAGCCAATGTCATTCTCATAACCAGTGCCAAGCTTAATCCAGCCTGCAAGGTTCTTATGAAGAGCATAAAACTTAATCTAGAACACTTTCTTGTCGAGGAACTACAATTTAATATAACCAAGCACCATCTTGTTCCAAAGCATAGAATAATGAGCGAGAGTGAACAGAAAGAGCTATTAAATAAGCTTAAATGTGAAATGTCTAATCTTCCAACAATTCTAACTACAGATCCAGTGTGTAGATTCTTTGGAGCCAAGGCAGGGGTTATTTTTGAAATAACAAGGAACAGTCAGACAGCAGGAACAGCATTGTACTACAGGGTAGTGCGCGAGCCGGGGCCCAAATGAACAGTGGCAGTATAAATTATATATTCTACTAGCATTACTTTTGATTGGTTCAGTCTACCTTACATTTACTTAATTTTAGCACAAAAAGCACAAGGAAAGTGCATATATCTAATTGAAGAAATATAAGCCTATTTTGTGTTGGAACACTTATTTGACAGCTGATGTTAAATAGATCGTTTCCACACATCAATTGGCCATTTGTAATACTTTTGATACTTAAAATGCTTATAAATAAAAACATCCCTCGAAAACGCACTTCAAAAATAACGTTCATTTTGTATAACCTACAACCGTGCAATCAAGTCCATTATTGCTTGTAGTTTATATCACACCGTATTTCATTCATTGATATTAAGCACTCCATCCTCTTTCCATTAAAATATTCCTTGATCTTCTCTTTTATTTCCCTATTCTTCACTACTTCAACACTATTCTTGAATGTCTTTAGAAATCCATCATTTAATAGCTTCTTAGTCAATTCACTCGTAAAAGAAGGAGCAAGGAAAAGCCTCTTTTGAAGAAATTCGTTCATTTCACTCTTTGAAATGCTAGCATTCCCAGTCGTCTTAGTGTTAATGTTTCCATTGTTGTCTCTATCATCAGTCTTGCCTACAACTGTTTCGTTGTAAACCACACTTAACACTCGTCTGTAAAGACAGCAATCCCTCAGCTCTTTACTTTTAATGCCTGAACAGGAATAGCAAATAAAATCTTTTTTGATTCTCTTGTCTTTCGAAGAGAAAAATCCATGGCAAGAGGAATGAACCCAGCATAGGCACTTTGTGCAAAGGATCATTTCATTTTCGTTTGAGTTTATTGTGCATGAACAGTCAATGCGAGTATTGTTTGATTTACCGTCAGGTAGATTATTAGACGTGCCATTACAACTGTCACTATTTGACACAATACTGCTGTTGCTAGTGCTACTATTCATATTGTTGGCATTGCTGTTGGCGGGCCTCTTGTCTTGCTGCAAATATACCTTGAGTCCATTCATCTCAACCTCCTTCAAATCCTTAAGATTCCATACCTCTCCGCTTCTTTTAAACCCTTGTATTTCAATAAAGGCGGTGGTAAACACTTTCATCTTTACAATGTACTTTCCTCTGAGAAGATTCATTTTCTGAAGGCTTCGGCAGATATTCTTGAAGTCTAATTGTGTATTAACCTGAATAGAATACATCTCAACTAGAATTTCTTCATTTTCTATAATAGAGTATATTCCTATTGCTATTTTATAGATTTTGTCCTTATGGGTATTTAGGTTCTGGATCCAATTGATCATTTTGACTGTCTCAGGCGTGTTCCTTAGAACTTTAAGCTCTAATCCATTTACCTTTTGGTTTTCAAAGGATTCTTCTGAAAATAGACATCTCAAGTATGAAATTACGCCAAGTGCCAAGCTGATTGTATCTTGTTCTTGTTGCATAAAAGATTATGCAAAAAGGATATTTTAAGATGTTTAATATTTAAGCATCAAAGGTGAGGTGTTAAGCTGTATTAATCATTAATAACACATATCAATGCGTTATTATTGACTATTGTTGGCTTATTGAAATTACTTGTATTTTATAGCTTTTGTTACTCCCATTTAATTCTATGGCTATCTCAATAGGACTTAAAACAAACACACATCTTCTAATCTGCTCGGAAACAATACTAACAAGTAGTGGCATCATAAAAATAAAGGAGGATGACGAATACACAGCTAATATCTCTGGCAGCCTTGTATGCATAACAGGAGAGCAAGGAGATTCGTTCAGGACAGTATCATTGCTAGAACAATACTCAAAACTCCTCTCCATGAAATACAAGGAGAAAATAGGCCCCGAATTACTAGCAAGATTACTCTCATCTGAGATATATGAGTCACTTAGGAGTAGGCCATTGGAAGTACAAGGAATAGTAGGGGGTAGGAGTGAAGACAATACACTCAAGCTATTCGGAATAGATAAATATGGAGCAGTGCATGAAGACAACTTTGTTGTTACTGGGTATGGTCTATATTTCCTGTTTGGAATATATGATATGATGTACAAGAAGGACATGAGTGAGGAAGAAGCCTTAAGTCTTATTCGCAACTGTTTAAAAACCTTAAAGGAGAGACTAGTCCTCGAGACAGACAAGTGGAAATTAGATGTGATAGGGCCTGAAGGTGCTAGAAGTGAGCTTGTTGACTTAAGTAAATGAAACCTTATTTCTTTGTTAGTTACACTTTCTACTAGTATTATTTTTATTATCGCTTTTAATATCATTAGTCTTGCATTGACTTGAATGTGTTTTTGTTTTCCCTTCTAATAGGTTATATCCTCTAAAAATACTCATGCTTTCAATTAAATATTATACGATTATGCTCTCGATCGGATTATAAATATCCCTAAAACAAATAACGTTGTATACTGTTATTATATTAAACATGGTTTAGATTTATTCAAGTTTAACTGTTTTCTTGGCCTTTTTGAACATGAGCGGATTTCTCCTGAAGTATGGCCAGGATGGCACTGTAGCAATAAAAGCAAAGGCCACTGTGCCCACTCCCAGAACTAGTGTGTAAGTAAGATCCTTAGTTACCAAGCCAAGAAGGAAAGACAGGGTGTATCCTAGAAGGATAATAAGATACATCAATCGCATGGCAAATTCCTGTCCTACATAATCAATTTCTGGGTCAAGTTTCTTGAGGAAAGCACGCATCAGGAGGGTGCATGAAAATTTATTGTTATATCTGTCAACTAAAGGCTAGTTGCTGCAACAATGCTCCTATTGATTTTAGCTCGTATGTATGTGTCCTTTTATGTGCATAGCACCTCTTCTACTATCATTTGATTGCAAAAAAAAGGATTTTGAAGCTTGCTAGCTTTATTTAGTTAAAATTCCCAAATAAAACCAACAAACACCGCAGCTATCCAACACAGTTAATTAAACAGACCACAATGCACCTTTGTCTTTTATTCTCCTTTGTCCATTTGGCTAAGCTCTTTTTTGTCTTCTAACAAAAAGTTCTTGGCTTCGTTGATTTTCATACAAACGTACGGACTTCCTCCAAGATCGGGATGGTTAATCCTCATCAGATTACGGTATCTCTCCATAAAGTCATTGCCATTTGAATGTAGAATCTTTATGCTCTCCTTATAGTTAATAGGCTTGAATGTGGTAAAATATTTTGGAAAGAAGAATTCTTTTACTTTCTGAAGCATGCCCATAGCTCTTATTTGGTTTTTGAATGGGCAGGGCAACTCGTCCCTGTATTTATAGCCCATGCTTACTGACAAAAGCATTTTGGAAATTCAACGAGAATCATGTTTGTAAGTAGATGATTCAAAATCTAAACGTAGGTAATTTGTAGCAAAGCAAATAAGACTAATTTACTGGATACTTGCCTGCTACTAATAAGGATGTGCTATACTAAGTAAAGGATATAAAAATTAGCAGCTTTATTCACTTCTTATTGACTCTTCAATTAGCCTTTCTCGTTGATCTTCAAGCTCACTACGGACTGCCTGAACTTCTGCATACATCTCATTTATTGAATCAATCTTAAGCATCACCCTCTTCATCTTAGCCTCAATCTCAACATTTTCTAGCTTCTGGAGCTTCTTTTTCTCCATGTCAAGCACTTCCATGCTCTTCTCTTTAGATACCTCAAGGAGAATTTCCATGAGATTGGGACTATTCAGATACCTGATTGCATTCTTAGCCAATTCAGTCGAAATGGATGGATAGACCATAGAGCATACGAAGGCCACGAGGGTACTTATGGGATTGGGCACCTGCGTAAAAGGCATGGAAGGGAAAAGATTACATTCATCAATAATTGACATTTTAATAAAATGAAATATACACTGATCCACACTCTTATTCAGGCCCTCACATACTCTAGACCAATCATCCCCAACCCTTTCTATATTTTTCAGGAGGATATACTCTTCCTGTTTTGTCCACATTGATTTTAATAATGAATCTGTTATTTTATGAAAATTGCGGGAAGAGTATCCTGCAGGATACTTGTTAGACTCAAAGCATGTCTCACAGACGAATACCAAATCAGAAGTGAAGTACTGTGCTTTTCTACCACAGGTGCATTGACTATTTTCTAGCGTTTCTTTTTTGAAGTATTTTTCCTTAATCTTCACATCGTTTGATGATTCTGGCTGAACTGCAACTATACTGTTTGCTAACAAATCTAGGCGAGTTGTATTAATATTATCTTTTGATGTTTCTAGCTGTTCAGGCTGAGCTGGGTCTTCGTCATTTAATATTCCATCCAAATCGCTTAGTATTGCACACAGATTAGTTTGATAGTTTATTATTTTACTGTCTTCCAAAAAATCAAATATTTTCGCAGATACTTTATAGTTAAATCCTTGAAAAGTCAGGATGGAATTGAATGGGATGTATCCCTGTGACTTTCTATACATTTCGATAATGCTATTTCTTACTTTAAGGTAGTATTTGGCAATGTCTTTATTCAAAGTATCTTCTTTCGAATCACTATTTTGATTGGTTAGCTTGTTATATTCTAGGTCAACAGTCTTATTGTAAGTCAACTCTTCTACTTTTATCGTGTTAACAACTTCTAAAAACAGTTTCCTGTTTATCTTCAATATAAAAATTTTCTCAATTTCTGAGATTTCCTCATCTTTGAACCATTTTGGTAAAACATCAAATAAAGACATCTTGGAGTGGACAAAACTACTTTCCTTTACATTCTGCCCTTCTGGAGGAGTAGCGCTGGGCCTGGAAGTACCTATTGTTTGTTCTATTACAGCTTTCTGAGCAAGAGGAAAAATATTTTGCATGGTCTAGAAAAACAAGGAGAATTTTAATAAGACTGAAAATAATGATTACCATGCTTGAAGTCAGATAATACAAGCGTAGCATATCATTATTAGATGGATTTAGCATACTGCCATGTGATTGATATAATAAAGAGGCAAGAATGAGGTATTGCAAGGGTGCCTATAATTACTAAACTGCATACTAACTTGCATGTATTTGGCCATAAATACTGTACTTTCCACCTATTATGCATAAAGTATACGGCATTTTTCTTATTTTTATTACTCATTCCTTGTGCCCCTTTTAAGTAATGAAGAATCACAATCCAATTCACAATGAAAATCCTTCAAAAGATGAGGAACAGTCGATATTCGAGGCGGAAATGCAAAAAATGGAAGAGAAACTTGGCGAAGAAAGCAATTTTGACCTTTTAAATAAGTCTACAGGAAGGCTTAAGAAGAAAACAGCAAAGCCAATGACTGAAGAGCAAAAAACAATAATAGAAACACAAATATTCGGGGAAATAAGCTCTGAATCAGAAGATTTTCCATTGAATATATTCGCAAATACTCCTTTAAATCAGGATAGCATTACAAATGGGGACAACACGGACAGCAGTAATACAAATACGACAATTGGATTTAAAAAATATAGAGAAGCAGTTATGACATATAAAAAAGATTCAAAAAACTTCTTTTTGGGTGAATTTCTGGGGCAGTGCTTGAAAAAGAGAAGACAAATGGATAGTTGGTATCCTTGGACCAAGGAAATGTTAAATAAGGTTGATCAAAATGAAGAAATAATGAAAAAAGGACTAGTGGAGTATGGGCATGAGTATATCACTGATCTTTTAGAAGGACAGATAAAAGCTAAGGATAATAAGACAAATGGTATTGAAAAGGATGACTGGAATTCGACAATAAAAGATAAAATTGACAGTTTGATTGATGGTCTTAAAAGTATTGAAGAAGCAATAAGAAATGAAGGGATGGATACAATCTGGGGTAAAATACAGTTCGAGGGAGTTGTGTTGAACAATATTAAAGGATGCATGGATTCGTTTATGAAGACATCAAATAAAAAATACGATATTATTGATTATGTAAAATATAAGAATAAAAGATGGGAGGAGCATTACAATAGAGTTAGAGACGAAAAAGATAGGAAAAACCTATATTTTCAATGAAACAAAGTGAGAAGACGTAAAAGAATGTGTGGATTGCATTGATTGTGTTTGGTTAAAGTGGGTATGAAGCTACTTCAACATTCACATTAGTTTGTGAAGGAAGTATTATTTGTTAAAAATAGATTATAGATGACCGTTACAATTAATAAAGTCTCTATGTTTAGTTTTGCCTGCAATCTATTTATTTAAGTTATATAGCATTTGTAAAAATACTCTTTCAGGTATCTCCTCACATGTTAGTGCTATTCCATAGTACATCAGAAATATGAATATGTGGTGGAACCTTTCTGTTCTTTTAGAAGTGTACGAATAATGACTAAAGTAGGTACTCTCAATATAATATGACATTAGAAGTACAATCCCAAAAGAACCTAGCCATGCAATTGTCCAGTATGGACAGACCAACATAAGCACTAATACAACGGGCAAGTATGTGTATGAGCTTGCATGCAATCCGAACTGTTTTGCTGTGTGTGCTTGTCCAATGATTCTTGAACTGAAAAATGAATATATCAAGCAAAAAAGACAGTATAAAATGAAAGATGTGATGAGTATAACAAAAAATGCCTTTAGTATAACTGTAATATTGTCTTTGAGGGGTTTCTCGAAAGTAATACTCAGTATAAAGATAATAGTGTTAACAAGTGACACTAGAAAAAGATAAACTATCGGTGGGAAGTAACTGTCTGGAAGTGCATTTAGATTCAATGGGGATATTATTAAGGATGCGATAAAGGCCAGTTTTATGTATTCATTGGTGTCTGTCAAGATTTTGAATGCATATTTGCTGGCCGTTTTCCGGTCAGTACGGTCAGTATTTTCTCTATTTTTGACGTTGCTCGTTCCCAAAACTGGCATGAAAAGGGATAAGCTAGCAAACAATTTTATATGCTTTTTACTCCTTTGCTTAAAAGAGTGTAGAATCAGCCCAAATGTATTTTAGTGCTTCCTATTTATCTTTCTACTATTCAATTTAAACTCATACAAAAACAGCAGAGAACTGTTAAACAGCAATTCCTTTTGTTATATGCTTTGTATAAGTTTGCTTATAAAAATTTTCTGATTTCCTTACAAATTTAACAAGTATATTTTTATTGACTTTATTATATGATAACTGAGAAGGGCATTTCAAATAAAATTATTTGTTTTTATAACTAGCATGTTTTTATGCTTCTTTCATAGTTTGCATAATCCATGTTTAGAACAATACTGATCAAATCAACTAAAGAACTATATTAAAGGCCTAATGCTTAAAGTATTTAATGGTTTGAACACTCCTTTTCTGATCATAGTCCACAAAAACTATCCTCTTCTGCTTTGTTTTGATCTACTACTATACTTTAGTATACCTGATTTACCACGTGCGTTGTTATGACCTCCTACTGGTGTTTTGATAGATTTGTTGCCTTTATCTTGACTACTTGGTCCAATAGAAACAGTATATTCGGAAGGTTTATTGTTGATATCTTTCTTGCGGTCATTTATCATACCATTACCACTCGTGTTCTTCTTTTGTTCTTCTTTCTTAACGAACTCATTAAATATCAATGCACTAAATATACATCCCATCATTAGTACAATTACAAACACACTCATAGCATAGGCAGTTAGCGCACTATTACCACCAATATTCATAAATCCAAATATATCTGTCAGTGGACCAAAAACTGAGCCGACGAAGTTTTTCAAAATTCCTAGATCACCACTCAAAAGAGCAATAAGAGTGGCTCGGCCTTTAAGTACTATTGATATAATGGTGAATATCATCACTGGTCCAAAATGGAATATATGCCTAAAGACTGAACCTACCAACAGGGACAGGAAGCCTTTCACGCTGGTTATTCTCAGTTTCCTAAAAGTAAGACTAACGGACATGGATTCATTAAAATACATGCCGATATAAACGAGTGAAAACTCATTATCATATTCAATAGCCTTTTTGATTTGTGATAGAACAAATCTTAGAAAATTAAGTACTGGAACAATAATCCAATCCATTGGTATCTCAACAATTTTGAATATGCCCTTGGCAATATAGTGAGTGTGTGGAATTATTCTCTTGGCGCTCTTGTATGGCCTGGTAATGTTATCTAATATGAATATTAGAAGATCCAGTAATGCTGGGAAGAATGAGAAGTATAAAATGAACTTCAAAGCACTAAATGTTCTTTTCAGAGCACTAATGAATATGCTGGATTGATCATCTTTCTTGGAAAGTGTCTTACTTCTTGAAATTTCAAGTATCGATGCCGTATATACTTTAACAAAATAAATCAATGAGCCCCAAGACCATGATAATAGGAAAATTAATGGAAGAATAAGTACCTTATGGCTTTCGATACTTGATATAAGAGAAAGTATGATGCTTAGCTGTACTCCAAAAATGGCCGTGGCACACAATACGACTGGTAGAATGTAGTGTAGATGATTAATCACCAGTGAAGACCCAGCTGAAACACTACTAAGAATAGGTGTAATCTTATAACTGAATATGGTCAACACAAGTATAAAGAATATGACTATAAGCACTATAAATGCTATTGATTCCCAGGTAAGTTCCTGTGAGCTAGTCACAATACTCCATATAGTGCTTCCACCAACAACTGCTGATATTCCCATAACAAGCGTTGTTATCAAAATACTAAAGAATCTGTAAAGGATGAGGATAGCAAGACAAAACAACAAAGCAAATCCAATATCATTGACTAAAAGGTCAAACAGACCACTTCTGAACTCTTCAGAACTCAAGTAAGCATACATTTCTTTAGTCTTGTCCATCACATCAATACTTTCCCCTTTGTTGACAACAGAATCGATGGTAGGCCAAACAAATCCTACAAAGATTGTAGCAATCCACATCAAACTAAAGAGATAAGTAATGATTTTCAGAACTTTATCCTTTATCCAATCGGACATTGCTCTTCCCCATTTATTTCTAATCTTATTTATCAAAGCCGTCATTATATAGGAGAATACTCCAACAACCAGAATAAAAGCTATCATCACTGTAACAAGCGGGATCCAACTATCCCTTCCCATAAAACTGGTCCAAATATCACTCTCTTCATTTTTTAAAGGGGACTCGTCTTGTGATCCAAAGAAATAACTCGAACTCATTGGGGGTAGTTAAAATTTTATAAAAAAGAGAATAATTGAAAATAAAATTGAAATACTACACGAAGAAGTTTGATGGTAGTAAAATATCAAATGGTGTTCAGTACAGTGCAGATCTATCACTACAGTCAGGCATTGTAAGCTTATTTTGAAGTGAGAATGGTTGCTCAATGATTGGCATGACAGCTAGAAAATCATTCATAGAAAGTGTTAATGCAAAGAATCTTAAATAATGGTCCATTTAAAAGTAATATGTGCTATTATATTAGTTTTTAAGTGACTGTTAATGCAAAGCTGAAATAGGAGAGCATTGATGAATCCATAACATTGTTCACTTGTAAATTTATTCCACCAATAATTTTGCAATGAATCTTTTACGTATCAGATAAATTAAATTGTTTGGACACAAATCGCTTTCAAAACTGCTTGACAGCAATTAAATTATTTTCTAAATCAAACTGTTAAATAAACTCTATAAATTGAGTGTATCGACGTATAAAATTTATTCTAAATGAGTTACTGGTCTTGTTTCAGGATATGCTCAAATACCTTCCCGGGAATGATTAAGGATGCAAATACCACTAAATAGTATATCAAGAAGATGTATATTTGATGGATTACCTGAATTCGCTGCGAAGTATAAGGAAAGTAGGTAGAATATGTGGCTTGGAGATAGTACGACATCAGAAGTACTGCACCAAAAGACCCTATCCATCCTAATATCTGAGGTTCAATCAGTGTTAGGAGAAGCGCGACAGGGATGTATGTGAATGAGCTTGCATTCAGTCCAAACTGCTTCGACGTGTGTTCTTGACTGATGATTTTTGAACTAAAAAATGAAAACAGAAAACAGAGAAGACACTCTGCAATAAATGTCATAACAAGGCTGTAACTGAAAGCTATCAAGGCGTGTTGAATATTGTCTTTCAGTAAAGCTGATCCTGCAAGTTTTCCCATGAAGAGTGTTGTGTTAATGAGAGATATTAGAAAAAGATAAATTATCGGTGCAACGTAGCTGTCTGGTATTGCATCTAAGTTTAGTGGGTATATTAGCAGAGCAGATGTGAAGGCTGTTTTTAAAAATCCCTTTTGATTGTTCATCCGTGTAGGAATGGCGATCTGTAATGTGCGTCTAGGTACGACCATGGATTACGAAACAAACAAGGTTTTAAGAATTGAAACACAAGAGAAACAAATGAAAAGAACAGTGTTGTGGTTATGACAAAGGTAATTCTACATTAATGTTTGTTAGTACTGAGTGATGGCTCTCCTGTCTATGCTCTTCTATAAATCTTGTTGGATACAGCACAGGATCAACAACGAATAAATCTGATCAGTGGTAATATTCTTCATTTATTCTTTTTATAATTTTCTTGAATTTCAGAGAAAATACGCTCTACAAAGTAGTGATTTTCAGTTTTTTGAATACTATCAAAATGTCAAAATCAACCAAAAAGGATTGTAAAAATCAATAAACTTTTATATACTATCATATGAAGTGGTTTGTTGATTTAGAATAATTCATTGAATTACTTTTTCAATTTGGAATCAAACAGCATCCGCGCTACTACCTTATCCAATATGTAATTTCTTACAGTAACCTCACCCACTAGTATTGATGTTAAAATAAATCCTAGGAATATTGTTAAAAACACCCCAAATCTTTCCTTTGTGCCTTTCATTTCAAACGATGATATGTAAAAATTCTGTAAGAGGAAATTGCTGAGGAAAAGTGCAGTATTAAAAAGGATAAAGTTTAGCAGTGTTTGGATTGCTTCTTCTGTACATAAAACTGTGTACTGTAAGAGAACAACCATGAACAGATATGTCATAGACACGGCTATTGATCCGAATTCATCTGATTCTACTTCATTTCCAAGTAATCTTGACATAATAAATGAAATGGTAAAAGTAAATAGCAGGAGTACTAAAAAGATTAAAATAGTAGCTAAAAGAAAGGATACAACTATGGTTGAAACAAGCAAATCATTTGTCTTAATTCTATGCGAAACTGCTAATGCAAACTGCCATAGGAATGTGGTCTTAATATGTGAATAAACTGTCATTCCCCCGAGGATCATAGAAAGCATAAAGAGATAAAGAGTTGGCTCGGCAAATCCGAAGTTGATAAGCTTAAAATAGTCAGTTTTATGTGTGACAGCTACAAAAATGGCAATATGAAAGAATTTCAGAGTACTTTTCAAAAGAGATTTTTTTTTATGCTTTGATGAAAATTTCATTTCCATATAAGGGATTTAAAAAAGGATGATATAACTGATTGGCAGTAGAAACAACAATGAGATAAAAAAGTGGTTTTCATGGTATTTGACTGATAAAGCTTGCATGTTTTAAATCAACTGTGTAGACAGCTGACAAGGTTAGTGAATTTTTCAAAGAATCGAAAAAGAAAGAAGATTGTACTGAGCACAAAAATACATTATGGATGGATAGCTTTATTAATTCAAAAGGGAAATGATTGGATGTCATTGATTAATTATCAAAAAAGCTATGCATTGATCTTTTAAGGTAAATAAAGTCAGTTCAATACTTTATTGCTGATTTCATTCAGTTGATTGTTTTAATTTATACTTCCTGATCAGATCCCTATTCTTTATGCATAAAATCAATATCGTTATACATAGAAGAAATATTGATGTATAATACAAGTACGTTGAATAATCTATAAACTTCTGTGTATTCTGAATGACAAGATCCGTAGTTTTCATAGTGTCTGCTATAGTAAACCTGTTCTTGAATGTTGAAAAATATAAAAAGTTGACAACCTCAGTGCTGCACGGTTTGAATGATGAATTAGATGTTGGGTGGAATGCTCCATTGTTTTTATCCTCTTTTAACTCGTGGAATTTATACTTCTCAAAGAATAGTCCGTTATCATTTTCCACTGTGATTAAATAGAACTGATTCATTGATACAAGTCCAAGAAATCCCTTGTCATAAACTCTTAAAAGATTCAATAATGGCATTTTGGCAATTTGAAATTCAAATTGAAAGGATTCTTTGCTTTCTTCCTGGATTATGTTTATTATTCTCGTCAAGTTGTAGCATTCCTTGCATATTTTTGATGTGGAAGGGAGTGATGATGAACCAGAAAAAAAGGTAATGGTGCCATCTTTATCGTTAAGAGAAACACATGACTCAATAGTGTGGTTTTGGTTACAGCCACATTCATCGTCACATTCTTTTAATGTTGTGTCTAATTGTAGAACAATTTCATGTGCTGAGACAGTGATTGCAAAGAATGCAACTAAAATTTTTAAAATTGCCACGAGCATGGATGAAAATTTTTGCTCAGACAAAAGGCAATTTTACCAGAAAACACTATTTATAAATTACATATATTCAAACAAAGACTTGAAAATTGCATGATCAAAGAAACTATGAACTAATGCAAGTAAAAGTTTATTTTAAAGTTGACAGTTTTCAAGTTTGTACAACTTGACAAGAACAACCTGACCAATAGCCTTTGGGCACAAATTTCTCTCAAACTTTGCTCTAACCACGCCTTTGTTGCCATGAACTCTAGTAATTACTCCATTATTATAGATTGTCTCTCCTTTTTTATTGGTGTAGATAAAAAGAACGGCATTCTTGATGTATTTAGAAGCTGTCTCCTTATTATTAACATTGTTTATCCTGAGAAGCGCACGCTCTGGATGAATCACATCTAATCCTCTTTTATGACTGACAAAGACCGCAGGGATGGTGGTATTTTGTAGAGCTTCTTGCATTGAGGGTGAAAATTTTTGTTAAAAATTTTTAGAAGACAGTACATAATTTATAGAACGAATAGTGTTGAAATAATGTCATAGTACTAATTACAATTAGCTATAACTGTGAAATTCATGATATTATTAATGATACTTGGGAATGACCAATATTGTTAAAATATCAAAGAATAATACCGTATTTTAATTAGCTATTTTGTAAAGATTACATATTGATTCATCTTCATTATGATTGATTTCCTCTTGCATTGTCCAGTCATTAACTTCGTCAAGTGCTCGTCTAAATAGCTCTTTTTTAAATGGACCTGAAAACAATGTTGTTTTTGCCAATTTGACTCCAATGAATTTTGATCCTATTCTGTATAAAAATACTCTTGAATATATTTCAATCATCTGTTCGTTCAAAAAGTCCAATTTTGAAAGCTTTTGGGTAAAAAACTGTTCCAAACTTTTTAAAATCGTAGGGGTTGGCGGAATATTAAATTTTGTGAGGTTTTCTTTAGTGATTTTATAAAACAATTCTTTTCTATTGTTGAACATTATTTTCTTACTATCATCTATTGAAACTATGTCTATTTTACTATTCCCCTTTTTGCTTGTTTTAACTATCCTAAATACATTCTCTTCAACGACATTGTCCATTAAAACTGCTTCGTTTTTGTTCATTTCCTGCTCTTCAATTTTATTTCCTTCTACTGTACGATTATCTACCTTTGCTTCATTAGCTATCTTCTTAACTTTTTCTCCTGACGACTGACTAACGCATAAATTCACTGTGGATTTTGATGGAATCTTAATTACTGGTTTTTTTCCATTCAAACACTTGGTTTTTTCCAGCTTTCTGTAGACTGTTACTTTTTTTTTGTAACCATTTAAAGGGATACAAATTTGTTTCTTCAATATTAACTATGCAAAATTTTCATTCAAGCAATGCAGACTAGTTTGTAATTAACCACAATCCAGTAAACTGTTTCAATACTTTCAGCACTCTATCCAATTAATATAAAAAAAATACTCTTAGAAGGTTTAAAAGATATCTGAATAGCCTTTTTATTCTTTTTCATTTCATGATTTGAAACTTCCTATCAATATAACTAAATCTACACAACCGATATAATGTTTAAACAATATTTTTATGAGCATTATATTGGCCTTTCAAAATTAGCCCGTCTCCTTTATATAGTTAAATAATATAAAAGAAAACACTATATTGGAAT